GAGGACTAAAGAAAAACTGATTTTTTTTTTCTTGTTTTGTTTTTTTGTTGTTTGGAGATAGTTTACAGTGTGGAGGAGATGATGATGGTGGCAAATATAGGATTAAGTCTGTGTAAGCGGGGAGAGACATTAACATTTTTCAGGATTTTCAACTTCGTGCAACAGTGTGAAATTCAGCTACTTACATAAAACTAAATCTTCCACTTGAAGTAAGGAGTCAAACTAAAGATGTATATTCCGGTTATGGCAATATTGAAACTGATGATGAAACCTATGTTCTTTTGTGTAGCTTTTATTGTCTATTTAGATAGGAATAGCTTTTCTCTGGGGCTGCCAAACTGTCTGGATCAAATGTGCATTAAGATTTAGCATGTTGAAGTACAGCTGTTTGCAGCATAAGTAACCAAACTCAGCATGGTGACTCAATATGATTTCAAAACACAAAGGAAGATGACATAACCTAGTTTTCATCAAAAAAAGGCAATAAAAATCTCTGACATAACATGGATGTCAAGAATGCTCTGTTATATGCAGAAATTTCAATGAACAAGACTGTAAGAAGAAAAATAAAATGCAAAATGCGAAGAAAGAAGATGCCAAAACCAAATATGTGAGTTCTTAGGTTGAAGGTAGGCAGTAAAAGTCTTGCTGTCGAACTGCTGTCTATTAATTACCTTGGGTTCTGACTCGAGTTCACGAATGGAAGAATGACTATAGTTTTCACACAGTGCTAGATAAATTTATAGCAAAAACAACTCCCAAAGAGAAACTCTGCAATCATTGCAATCATCTTGGAGAAAGCAGTTACTGTAATAAAGCATGCACAATAGTCTTGAAGTAGTAAACTGAGCAGCAACTGCTATCAACTGAGAACCAGTATGTTTTTCCATAGTTACCACTATGCTGTGTTTAAGTGTCTAAGATGCTTGTTATGTCTGAGGTCACAGTGTGAAGTGTAACTGCATGTCTATAAAGATGGATGCACAGTGCAATAGATTATAGCATTCCAAACTACTTAAAGATGGTCATCTTGCTGACTTGCATCTATGTGGATGTGTATAGTCATCATCAGTCTGTGGAGGGTTAGAAAGTTTGAAAGACTATCAAGAATCTGCAAAGTCTTGAATGTCACAACAATGTTGGGAAAGTCAAACATTATGTCAAAAGAATTAAAAATTGGCAACATTAAGATTGCAAAGCAGACCCTGAAAATTGGGTAACCTGTTAACAAACAAACAAAAACCAGACTTACTGTGAAGCAGAAGACTTAAGCCCTTTGTGACTCTTGGTTAATTCTCTTTAGGGGTTTTCTCATGAAACAACAGCTAGTGCTGTTTTGAGAAGTGTTATTGGAGCTCTAACAATATGAAGATCTTTCATACAGGACAGAATACAAAAGGCATTCTTGAGACAATTCCAATATATACAGAAGAGATTGTCAGTTTAACAACACTGCAGTTTAGTGCTTGCTCAGTTGAGAAAAAAAAAAAGGCGGGGGGGGAAGGGAAACTTTCCTGCTATATTTACTTGCATTTTAAGTAATAGAAACTCAGCATATAAAAGCACTTTTAATTTTTTTTTTTTTAAGCTATCAAGAAAAACCTAATGGAAAGACTGTGGAGGATGTTTGTGTCCATAGATCTATGTCATGGATTTGGTGATGAAGATTTTTCTCTTTTTTGGGATGAGTTCTAAACATCACTTGAACTCTAAAAATCTCCATTCAAGACAGACATTCAGGGATTCAGAGTTGGTCTTCTATTTCAGAGTACAGCACAGGCCAAAAAGCTTGGCCTGGAAAACTGCAATTCTACGAACTTCTGATGCTTGCATGCCTGCATAATAACATTATGTAGTTGAATACTTTCTGGCTTTTGTTTTTTATGCTTATGTTTCAATAGTGTGTAAGTTAAGTGGGTATTTTTTGCAAACAGAAGAAATACTCTATTTGGAGGATTGTACAAATAAAATCTATCCTGTTCTATGACAATGAAACTTAAACGTTTAAGTAGAGGATATGGAAAAGGTGTTTGTGATGTCCTAGTGAAAACTATGCAATTAAAGTTCTTGAAGACTACCTTTTTTCTTCTTTCTAAATAATCACTGATCCTTTGTGTGGTTTTTCCTCTCAAATAATACATAATCGTGTGTGCTATAAAACATAATAGCTGTCACAGGGAGTGGAGTAACAGAAGTTTTTACTACTGCTGGGTTAAAGCAAACTCACTGTTCCCCAAGAAGTAATACTTCTGCAAAACAAGCTCTGTTTAGACACCGAACTTTCTCTAGGTGTTGTCAACATGACAACAAGCTGGCAGTAGCATCTCAACAGAAGTAGTTTGGATACTCTATACATTTCCTACTCATAACCGGAAAGTATAAGCTCCTCCAAGTTGTTAGTAAGATTTTCACTGGAAAACAGAAATGTGTTTCCAAGTGTTATATTAAAGGCAATGGCTTGTAGGAATCCCTTCCCTGTAATTTTATTCTGTAGTAATAAGAATACAATGCTGATGTACATGACAACTGAAAAATTGGCATGTGATAATTGCCCATTGTGTATTTTGCTGACTGTAAAAACCTCTCGAAGCCTAAGAATTGGGAGCAAATAGAAGAGAAGATAGAATATGATTCTGGTGGTCTGTATCCCTGTAATTCTCTTACTTTCTGTATGAATTGCTTTTCCTCTCTTCCCTTCTTTCAACACTTACTTGTGCTTCATCTGAGAAATATTACCTTCTTTTCCTGCTAATCATTTGTCCCTTTAGAACAAATGAACATAGTAAAACAGTGACTCCTATGAGGTATGTTGTCAAAGATTATAATAAAGTAAAGCTGGTAAGGTCAGAAAGATATTTAAAAAACCAAATATTTACATACACATGCAGTGAAGCTCTTTGGAAGCCTAGACATCATTCACAGAACTACTCAATGAAATAAAATTTACATTGCAACTATTGGCAATGCTTCTTTAGTAACAATTCTCATTCCTCCTCTTCTATATATCAGTTTAATGTATCTATTTGCAAAGTCCTGTTTTGTTTCTGTTTGCTTAGCTGATCCATGGCTAAACTTTTTGGGCTGGTGGGGTTGTCACAGTTCTAGACCAAATGACAGTGTGGAGACTAAACTAACTTGGATACCAAAACACTTTAATCACATGCATGCGATTTTGCAACTTTCCTGTTTGGCGGGAGATGTGATATGCTCCAGAAGAAAAGTCATGAGAGTTAGTTGTGTGGTTCCAACTCTGCTGCATGTAATCCTGGTGCAGGATGGTGGGCTCCCCTGGGTTCTTTCCCTCTCTTATTTTGGATGCTGTCAATTATGGGACTGGATAGTAGAGAGTATTTGATTCTCATTTGGCCTGTTCAGATTTACTCAGGGCCAAACAATTGGCTGTTGTGATGCACAGTCTGCTTTTCTCAAAGGTTCTTGAAGTGCGTATTTCTGTAAATAAACTAGAAAAACGTGATCTCTAAATGTGGAAGAGAAAGGTAATTTCCTTCATTCTGAATAGATTGAAATGCTTTATTTCTGTGTCTGCTAAGAGGAGAACAAAAAAAAAAAAATTAAAGCTTAAATAGTGGAAGCTGGAGAAGACAAATTGGAATAATATAGGGAGAATTGTCCTTGTTAATTGTATGATATAGGTTGGTGTTTGGCCTTTTTGAATCTGCTGAAGTGTGTTGGGTGAGTTCAGAATACTTTGCTTCTTGTTCCTATGTGCTTATAGGCTTTCTTACCTTTTGCTTTCAGTGCTACCTGAGGCTGCAATGAAGGCTAGTTGAAAGAACTGATGATACTTTCTTCTGGCTGAGAAATTTATATGGCGATTAGTTAATCCAGGATTGGAGTTTAGCCTATATTTACTTTATACAGAGATTTACTGGGAACAGCTAAATGGGAGTAAAATATTTACCTAAGTGGCAAGTGGGTTTTGTCCTCATTATTTATCTGTTAATGGTTTTTACTCCTCATGTAACACCTGCTTCAAAGTTGGTAAATCCCCTGCAAGAGGAGGAAGCTATTTCAAGAGGTGGGGACAATTTTTTTTTTCTGTTACATCTGCTAGTAGGGCAAATAAATCATGTGAGTTCAAGTTATGTTTATTGGTATTTTTAAGGTTATTCCCAGTTACAAGTAAGAATGTATACTGTAAAATGTCTACCTAGTCTCTTGGTAGATACACTCTTATTGTCTCAGAATGGGGCTTTTCTACAATCTGAGAGATTTTAACTTTTCCTTTTGTGTGGTTTTAGTTAAATGGGAAGGAGGTATTTATCAGGAAAAAATTGCTTGAAGATGCACCAAATCTCTGTATCGTCCCCCCAAAAGTGGATTAGTTTTCTGTAACACTGCTTTGTTTTCCAATCAAAACATTTTTCATCATCTCCAGCCACATTAGGCTTGAACTCTGTTTAAATTCTGACATTAGCCTAGGTGATTGTCTTTTTTTATGATTCTTGGTTTATTTCATCAGAAAACATTCCAAACTGGGATTGGATCAGGTTTAGTTACTTCAGTTAAATATAAAATGTAAGTTACAGCAATTGAGAAGCCGTAGGAGAGGCATTACAGCATTTCATCTGCTGAATGAATTGTCTGAACTAAAATGTAAAGGAGTGGCTTTACTGTTATTATTCAGAAGAGTATTCAGTAGTTTGGATTCAAATGCTTAAGCACAAAATAGATGTTATAAGTACTTAACCTGAGGAAGTGGGTGTCTCTTGTAATATACTGTTGTTTCCTTATTTTAGTTTATCATGCTTCGTAAATCACTAAAATTTGAATATGTGACAATTTGTTAAGAAACTAACATATCTGTTGATTTTTTTCTGTTGAGAGGATAGCTTGATCTTAATACATCTGAAAACTTAATGTTTAAATTACATGACAAGTTTTGATTGTAATTTTAATCTCTGTCAGGTTTTGTTTATATCTTGAGAGTGACAGATTGAATGAATGAGGTTGCTTGTTGGTGGTTTTTTTTTTTTTAGACATTATTTGATAATCAGATGAATGCTTCAAAAAAGGAAGACTCAGAAAGCATTAATAAAAATGACACTTCAAAGAAGATGTCTGTTGAAAGAGTTTATCAGAAAAAGACTCAGCTTGAGCACATTCTCCTCCGTCCAGATACCTACATTGGGTCAGTTGAACCGTTAACTCAGGTAAGTGTCACTAAGTTTACAGCCTGAATAGTTTGTTGTTGTTTTAATGAAGAAATTACTATTCTGCTTAATAAATAGGCAAATCTCTACTTTTCTGAGTATTCTGCATTCTGTCATGCTAAAAACTGTGGTCATGTTTATGTATGCATGTGTAGGAAGGGGTCAAGAGAAGACTTTTAAAAGCAGTGCTTGGCTCACCTGAGAAAACATGCTCAGAAAATGTTGAAGTTCAGTCAAACATAAACACACACCTGTATGTGTAAATATAGATATGTGTGTATATCTGTATGTTTACAAACATGTCTATATGCTCACAAATACATATACATCTTTGTAAGCAGCATTGGGTCTAGGTCCAAAAATGCTTTAATCTGTTTAGGTAGAGAACAGAGAATTTAAGCCTCCTGCTGGCACTTTTTTCAGCTGTTTTTATGAAGTTGCAAATTGTGTTGAACTTCACTGTCTGTACAGTTGGAGTTCCCCACCAAAGTAGAAAATAATGGATTTTCATTATGGAAGTCTTTGTGGGTATAGTTGTAATTTTTGCCAAACTTCTGCTTTTGACTCATACAACAGCAGCAATCAGATTGGAAGAGTAAAGTTCCTGAAGTAGATCTTACAGAATCAGAAACTGATTTACCAAGACAAGTAAATTCTTTATTTTATTTTGTTTACATGTAGTTAATGTGGGTTTATGATGAAGATGTAGGAATGAATTGCAGAGAAGTTACCTTTGTTCCAGGCTTGTACAAGATCTTTGATGAAATCCTTGGTAAGTATTTTTAACAATTATATTGCTTTAGCATTATGGAGTACATGCTTTTCTGAGAGCTCTCAAAGCACATTGGTTTGTATCTAAGCTTAAATCACAGACTTAGAGTGCCACTAAAATTCAGTGCATGAAAATTTTAGTGCATTCCAGCACTACAGAACACTTTAAAGAGGGAAGAGTGTTTTTGGCTGAACTTGTGAGAGTAAATATTTGTTACTGAATGTCCAAACTAGATCATTCTTTATGATCAATATTGTTGCAAGATTTTAAGCTGCAAAGTTGATCAGGGCCACAGTTTTAAGTAACATTTGAAAGAAGATTGTTCTTCTGAAAGATGACAACTGAAAGTTGTCTAAGTGTTAACTTAAATTGTCATCTTGTGAATCATTAAAACTGCCTCCTTCCGTACAGAATGATGATGGTGATTCTTACATGGGTCATTTCTAGACTTCAGCCAGTTTTAAAATGAATAAGTATCATACTGCCATTTAAAAGCATGGTGACTGAGACACAAACAAATAATTTTTAGAAAATTCTGTTGAAAGTCCCAGAGTCACTATGACTTTACTAGTTTATGATATTCTCTTGGTGACAGGCGCACACTGAAGGCTAACCAGCAGTAGAAATGTGCAGTATCTGGAGTGTGCTGTAGGCTGAACTGATATTTTGGGTTAATTGACTTGAATTCTTGGGCTAATCAGTTTTTATGAAGTTATGTTGAAAGATTAGTGGGATTACATTGTAAACTAAACTATGCTCTATTGAGGTAAATAAAAATTTTTTCTTGACCTTCATTGGGTTCAGCACTTATCCACACCTCTAAAACTATGGTTTACAGCATTGCTGTTTTGGAGGCAGTAAAGACTATGTCTTGGCCAGGTGGAAAAGAAGGATTTTTAATTTTTGGTTTTTACTCATTACATAATTTGACAAATATGGGAATGAAAATCTTTTGTCACTTTGTCTTTGAGTGCCACCTCACAGATTAAATTTATGGGCTTTTCACAGGAAGGAGTCACTTCCATTTTGTCCCATTCAAAAGGAAGATCATTATCAAATTATTATTGTAGTACTGTATGGCTTATTGCTTCTTTATGTAGCACTGATAACTGCTCCACAGAGTGTGGTTTGAGAGCTAGGGGTCAGTGTAATAACAATACAAAAATTGGACATTGTAGCTGTGCATACTTTTTAATGAAACTGCACTTAATGATTTTAGCAAAAAATATCTGATCTTATATTGAAATTCTTATAATATACTAAGGTTTTAATTTTAATGGATTTATCTTCATGCCCTTTGGTGGTTTGGGGGTTTATTTTGATCTATTTCATCAGTGATGAGGCAAATACTGAAAACAATTGTAATGCATTTTTGTAGTTAATGGCCATAGTCACATTTCTGATTTCTGTTGTTTGTAGTTAATATAGATTGGAGTGTAGTTTAATTAAACTGGTCAAATGTTAACTTCCAGTTACGCTTATTTTGATCCTAAACTGTGTAAGCTGTTTAGGAACTAACTGACAACTGTTAGTTATAAGTATCACAGGCTATTTAGAGATAACTTTTGCTGCAATTAAACCATTCCTTAGTGGATGTGACTTTTTCAGGATTGGGTTTCAGTGGCGAAAGGATGTGTAAACTGATCTGGTGATGCATATAATTTCCTAGAGTTTTTAACATACAAGATGTAATATGTGTAATAAATATCCAAACAAGTGCAGCAAAAGAAGAATGAAATGCTCGTTATGTTAAGAACAGTTATGAGAACAGGCTTACAAAATACACGTCTATATTTATTTCTAAGATAATCTAACGGCTAGAAATAGAGTCAGTAATTATAAGAAGGTTGATAAATACCTTCTTGTAGATACTTGGTCATATTTATAGACCTCAGTAATAGGATACAGAATATACGGAAGAATACCAGGTTAAGAAATACCTGGACCATTGTAATTTGTGGTGGAATATGTATATAATCAGTTTTACAGATCAAATAATTAATTATTGCTCCTAGAAACTGTTAATTTGTGCTGCTTTGTTTCATAGTAAATGCTGCTGACAATAAGCAGAGGGACAAGAATATGACTTGTATTAAAATATCCATTGATCCGTAAGTAAAAGCATGTTTTCATTTCCTTTCCCTGCCAGTGCTATTGTAGTTCAGATTTGTACAAATTATTTTACTAAATTAAATTGAATACTTTAAAAACAAAATAATATTTTTTTGAATTATTTCCACTAGCTTCATATTTTAAGATGAAAGGGTGAATTAAAAATGTTTAACAGTAAATACTACCATTCTGAATTTATAATAATTTGCTTTCCTGAACCACTCATTAATGTTTGATTGAATGAAACTTAAAACCAGATTATAAAATTCATGATTAGAGGAAAGCTTGGCAGTACATAACTATAACCAGCCAGGTTACTTATAAATCATAAATACCAACCTTGAGGTTTTGTAGCATGATTTTGCACCTCTTGAACTTCCTGTAGCATTAGAATATGGTTACATTTGAATTAGTCAGCTATATCACACTGAAACTGCAGATTGCAAGTATGTCATTACAACTGTTTTTCGAAATTGAATACTTAGAGGTATTTAGTAATGAGAATGGTAGTTAAATAGATGTTGATTGGGTTCCTTTAGTACTATCTTTTCAGTGATGTTTAACTAAATAATAAATGTTTGAGAGACCTAATTTTCACACATAATCTTTAGGATAAATATGCTGAGAAGTAATTTTTCTGCAAGTTTTCAGTGCGTTATCAGTTTCTGTAGGCCAAATTGTTTTCATCATGGAGTGGGAGGGAAATGGTAGTGTAAATCTGCCTGACCTGTCATGATTGTGAACTCTCTAATACTCCAAAATGAAAATTCTATATGAGAGGTACAAGTATTAACGATGCCAGATGTTGACAAATTTTGGCATTGATGCACAAAATAAGTTACAATGCTTATCATAACTGGGAAATAACAGCTTTAAAGAGGTGATAACTAGACTGTGTCTGGGTGGATTTCAATGAAATCTAAAAAGTTATATCTGTAACTGAAGTATAATTCTGTCACTAAACTTCAGGATTCTGTTGCACATAATGTTGATAGTGAAAGCTCTTCAAACAGATTTTTGGGTGTTATTTTTATTATATGAAATACTGTCTTGAATGGGCAATTATGCTCCTTCTAAAACATCTAATAAACAGAAAGAAGTAGGGGTTTTTTGGTAATTAAAATTGATAGAGCTGTGAATAAATGTGGTAACAATATGGGCTTTTATTGTATTTTATGAAGTTACTTAAACAGGTAAAATGTGTGCAGAAGTCCATCTTCAAGGATTACATTAATTGGCTGAATGTTTTCATTATTTTTATAGGGAATCAAACATTATCAGCATATGGAATAATGGAAAGGGTATACCAGTTGTGGAACACAAAGTAGAAAAAGTATACGTACCTGCTTTAATCTTTGGGCAGCTGCTAACATCCAGCAACTACGATGATGATGAGAAAAAAGTTACAGGCAAGACTGTTTATCATGCTTTGTTTCATTTAATTAAGTCATCATTTGCTTTTCAGTATGCTTTCACTTCTTACTTTTCTCTTTCTGTTCGGTTTCATGACAGATTATCACTTAGTCACCATTATTAGTCATTAGAGTAAAATGACTTAAAAAAAATCATACTTTTTCAATATCAATGTGTACAGAGAACTTTACATGTACGTCTTTAATGCCAGTAATTATTAAGTAACAAACAATATTTTCATATTTTGATTATAATGTATGCAAGCATTTAAACATTTAAGCTCTTTAAATGAAGAGAAAAATAAATTTAATCTTAAATGTCAAGTAACCCTAATTTAGATTGTGAATGAAAGTTAGTTCTTGTTCTGTCCTACCCCATATGTTTTGTCCATATTATGAGGTGTGGTTTCAGAGTGATTTGAATCTGATCATGACCTAGTTTTCAGCTGCATCAGGGTGTTGAGGTCACTTGCCTTTCAGCAAGCAACTGGTAGATCAACACTAGGGAAGCGATGGGAGCATCTTGGCCTTGAGGGGAGGAGCAAACTGCTCATTTTTGAGGCAGAAGCAGTTGCACCAGACTGGAGGTAGCGTGAAACTCCATCTCTGGCATCCTTTGATAGCTGTTGACATGTGGCCCAGCTTTTGTCTTATATAGGAACATTTTACTTCATTGGCATACTCTCTGCATATCGTAAATAATGGTTCTGCTGTAGAAAACTTACTATATGTTGTTTTTTCAGGTGGGCGCAATGGCTATGGTGCAAAACTTTGTAACATATTTAGTACAAAGTTTACAGTTGAAACTGCTTGCAAGGAATACAAACACAGCTTTAAGCAGGTATAGAAATCACCTCAACTTTTTTCCTTTGCTGTAATTATAAATTTAAAATTTAACACATTCTCTGTATTTCGTGAAGATTCCATGAAATGAATCATTTAACATTCAAATGGATGTGTAGAGTTTGCAGGCTAGGCAGTTCAGTCAGTAAAATTGTTACTTCTGTGTATTATAATTTGGGTTTTTTTTGTTAAGTAATCTTTTTCTTGGGAGTGTTAGGTGACTAAAAATGAAAAGCAAATTTCTTCTGTTAAAACTATATTCATGTGCATGTGAAAAGGAATATATTTCATTGAAACATTTTGTAACTGCTGTTATATAATTTGTCAAAAAATCTTTCTACGTAGCTGTGCAAACATGGAAACAATTATCTAAATAAATCTGTATGGTGTTAAGAAAAAGATTTTTTCAGTGTTTATGTCATGAATTTCCTTAGCCTAGCTGGACTTCAGTGCAAACCCCCCTCCTTCCCCATTCGAGCCCATTGCTCATTGTTATCATTGTTAGCACACAGACCAAGGGTTGAATGTAATGTGATCTACTGTGGGTAGCTTTGTGATGGCTACCTTTCAAAAAGTTTGAAGAACTTTATTAGAGTATTAGATACCAAAGTTCCTTGGCTTTGGAGTCTTTCCCAGTTGGTAGCTTCCTTCTCTTTTTTTCTGGACAAGTAATTAATTTCTGGTTATGCTGTCATGTTACTACATAAACAATACTTTTTGAAAATTACATGCTTTATGACTTAAAATGCTATGTTTTCCAGTATTTTCAAAAATTTTGAAAATTTAATAAACTAAACTTTGATATATGCTGTGAGTAGGCATTCTGCTTATTCTTATAAATGTGCCCATGTTCTTAAACAGGGAACAATACCAAGACTCACGAGTCAAGTCTGAGCAAGTTGGTTTGTCGAGAAGCATGCTTTGGTACACTGCACAGCCACAAAGATGCTATTTCAGAGACCGAGTCTCTGCACAGGGACTAATAAACCTCTCTGTAGAACTGTGTAGTAGATTACAAGTGTTAAACTGATGGGCAATAAGGACTGTTTGGCTAGCTCACTTGTATCTAATTTACTCGGTTCTGTGGTGGGCTCTATTTGCATTAGACTCATGTCCATCAATGCAAAGATACCTACATATTTACAGAAACCATAAATCTGCTGTCACCGGTGCTTGTGCAAATCTTGGTAAAGCAATTAATTTTATGCATAGAGTTTTAGCAGAGGAAACTTCTAAAAGAAGTCTGTGAGCTTTTTGTTGCGTAGCTGTTGCAATCTTAGCATAGCTGGAAAATGGAAGAGAGGAGGAGGATAACATGTATTGTAAACTAACATCTAAAATGTTTTGTTTCCAAAGACTTGGATGAACAATATGATGAAGACCTCTGAACCCAAGATTAAGCATTTTGATGGTGATGACTACACATGCATTACATTCCAGCCAGATCTGTCTAAATTTAAAATGGAAAAACTCGATAAGGATATTGTGGCCCTCATGACTAGAAGAGCATATGATTTGGCTGGGTCATGCAAAGGAGTCAAAGTCATGTTGAATGGGAAGAAATTACCTGTAAGAGCCTCATTTAAAATATTTTAAGTGTACTGAGTATTTGATGCAAAAAAATAGTAATTGTTATCTGTATTACTCATAGGTAAATGGATTTCGCAGTTATGTAGATCTTTACGTAAAAGACAAGCTAGATGAAACTGGAGTTGCACTGAAAGTTATTCATGAAGTTGTCAATGAACGATGGGATGTGTGCCTCACTTTAAGTGAAAAAGGGTTTCAGCAAATCAGCTTTGTAAATAGTATAGCTACCACAAAGGTGAGTAGTTATATTAAACGATTAAAAAATGTAAATGATAAAAATGTGTGCTAAAGTTATGCCTAGTCAGATGAGAAAATAAATCTGGGTTACTAAAAATAAATAGGTGGGATGATCCTTTGCATGAGAGGACCTAGCAGAGCAATTGAATGCAATCAAAATACATTCGTAGCAGTATTTCTGAATATGCACTAGTTTTTGAAACACTAGTAATAACTATCAGTGATACTGATGTCTTATGTGAGCATACATGATATTGATTAAATATATAATGAATAGAACTATTTTATTCATTCCTTTTTAACACATTGTAATAAAATAATTCTGAAATTAAGGTAAAAAAATGTACAAACCCCTTTAAAGCTAGTAATAGCAAGTTTTGGAGGGCAAAAATGGCTTTTGGTGTTTTTGAAAAATGGCTTTCCATTTATTGCTTTATGATGTATAAAACTGGCCTGAAATGTTGAGACTAATTTTCTTTGTGTTTCTATATAGGGGGATCTAGGTGTTCTCTGTACTTATTAGCAACTACAGTAGTGGTGAAATGATATCATAGCAAATCTTCAGTTATGATGAGGCACCAATATGCTCAACATACTAAAGTACAGTCTTTGTGCTTCTCACATTGCTGGGGTGGTCAGGCACCAAGGCAATCACCTGAAATAAACTAATGTAACTCACTTATGCTAGTTTGGTGTGGCCCAGGTTTAGGGATCTGGGATCCATCCATGGTGCAAGAAATTCTTTTTCATTTCTACTCTTCACAAATTGCACCAGATGAGTGATCTAATAACAGTCAAGCAATTCTAGTGATTGGTGAGGCTGGTTTTGGGGAATCTTAATCATGAGCTTCCCCAAAAATGAGAAAGATAAGAATTTGTAATCAGACACTTAAAAAACCCTTCTTGCTCAGATCTTTTTCTAAAAGAGTTGAACAGAAGAAAATTCTGATGGTAGCACAAGTGGTTCATAAGCACCAATGGTTACACTAAGTGGGGTCCGTAGTCTAGGCAGGTGCCCAGAAGTACCAGTATTAATCTTGGTGGTAGATGGTGTATAGCCAGTGTTTTAGTGGTATATAATTTTTTACTACATAAATTCTTCTAGTGTCATTTTCAGTGTAACTGAACCAGCGTTCAGTGGTAAGAGGGATAGTTTATTTCATTGTAGAATATTTACTTTCTAAGTGTGCATTTTAATTAAATGCTTATCTGATACTTGTCAAAACTAGGGATAACAAATGTATCTGGTAGTTGAAAGGTTAAAACTTAGTTTTAATTCAGGCCTCTTTATGCAACATAAAGAAGAAAAACAGCGTGACCTTAAAGATGTATACAATACTTTTATGAAGAAGGTGGCAATGTAGAGAAACTTAATAATATTTGATAATCAAGTGAAGAAAATGTGTTTGGAAAAAATGAATACTTATTGACGCCTAAGTTAAATATATTGCATACACTTACTCAAAAGATTTTGAATTTGACTCTTGGATCAGTTTTCACCCATCATGCAGTTACACATACGTTGTTATCATATATTCTTTAAGAAAATTCATAGAAAAAGTACTGTGTATTCTTCAAAGGTAAGTGTTGTAATTTCTAGTTTTTCCCACTCTGCCGATCCATGCCTTATGTGTGTGACTGGATGTGGAATGTTCGGGCCGGTGAACCACCTCACCAGCAATTGATGTGCAACTACCCACTGATGAGACATAATGGCTAGTAACTAACTGCGTCAACTGCCTGTCCCCTTATCTGCTAACAGGTGAGGAGCTCATTTCAGCTGTTTTTTGGTTATTTATCGCTGTTTGCTGAAAGCTTTTCATTTCTGTTTCTGGATAAATTGCACCCAGTCGTAACTTCCCTTCCACCTTTTTTAAACTTGCTTTTAATTCCAAACAAGTTTTTTTTAGGTTGATGGGGGTTTTTTTGAGGGGTGTGTAGAAGGTCAGGCAGTATTTTGAGGCACAACTCCCTTGTTTTGTTCTTGTAAATTTGTTACCTTTGTCAGGTTCCCACTTATTCACAATTTTGCCACAGTAGGCCACCACAGAATTCGACTTCAGGGTCTGAGGCAGCATTTGAAAGAATGTTTGTAGCTATTACGGTTGTGCAGATAACCTTTTGGTGACACTTGTATATAAACTGATTAAACATGGTTGTCTTAAGTTCTCAAATAGTAGCTGTAGTAGAAATTGTAGTAGAAACTTATTAACTGTCTAATGATATTTTTAGTATGGCAGCACTGCTAACTGTAATACTACTAATGATTTTAGCTAATACAGATGCAGTGTCAGATAGTAGAGTAGGGTGGAGGGAACATCTGAACCTGTTAAAATTTGCTGGCGTTCAGCAAGAAATTGAGGACCATTCCAGAGCTTGAAGTTTTCAGATTTATTCTAATGAAATAAACATAATAGAAAACAAATGCAAAGAAAATAAGATTTTATTTCTATAGCTAATTCAATGAAAATTTCAAATTTATAATTAGCTTCTGAATTTGTTTGCCATATGAACCATTTATGTCTGTAGAATTTAAATATGGCTTACTTTGGAATTAATTGAGGCTGTTGGCTATTGATGGTGATATGAATAGAATGTATATAGGGCCAGTCTAAGCTTCATTTTTAAGATTTCAGTTGTTACCATTTCATTAGATGTCTTTGAATCCTGAAGTTTACAAGACTGGGATTCAGTCATTATGGGACTTCTGGGAAAAGAAGGTTATGCAGTTTTAGTGCTCTTTCTCATAATGCAGTAGTCATAATAGTCACTTAGAGCCCTCTAGATTTAGAGAGTATTTTTCTTTTTCTGTCTTGTATGAAAATGTACTGACAGTTGGGGCAGTTATAGGCTGTTATGCTTCTATAGTGGGTAAATGTGCCACCTACTGGTGAGATGGTTGAAAGGTTCCCAGCTGAGCTCTGAACATCCCTCACTCAATGCTACACACTAAGAATGGACACAGGAATGGGGAACTGTTAGAGTAACTAATATCTTCTAAGAACAAGAATTACTGGTAAGTAGCTAATTTTTGATGTGTCAGATGTTAGTTTTAGAAAACTATTTGAAGTGCTAAAATTGAAAAAAAAAAAAAAAGAAAATTGCTAAAGTTGTAAATACAAAAATATACTGAGATATTCCCATAAGTGTAAGTTTTCAGTAATGTGATGTGTAAAAGTAATGCACTTTACAATTGGCATTCAAATGTGGAATGTTTTTTTAAAACATGTAATTAGATATTTTCCTGTAGTAGCTTTTTTTTACAGTTTGGAAATGGTTTTATTTTTCTTTAAAGTGGCAGGATGTCGATGTATGAACTTTCATGTGAACTCTCCTGTGCTGAAACTCTGTCATCCATATGTGAATAAAAACTGTTGCGCTTTGATTTTGGGGATTTTGGGGGTTTTTTGTTTTGCTTCTTTTTTTTTTTTTTTTCCTGGGGGTATGTGATATGTGTGTGTGTATGTGTTTTTAAGAAGAAATGCCATGAAAAATACTTGTATGTGTGGTGCTTCTAAAAGACGCTAGTGGTTTGTGCTGCTGTTTAGTTGGTGATTCTAGAGACAGACAGAAACCATAGATGGTTTCTTTAACTGCAATTACTGGTTTTGGTTATGACTAATAATATTTACCATCTTAAGCTATTTTTTTACCTCTTCTCTCTTTTTTCTTTTCATCTCTACTTTCTACATGAGGTTGAGAACACAGCTACTATCTCCTGTGAATTCAACCACTTCACATCTTCTACAGTCTTTTCAGATGCATACTCTGCCTTAGAATGTGGAATCCTAACTTTTGATTTTTCCTTCCTAGTTCTTTCTTTTCCTCTGTCTTCTTCTGGCTGCTGTTTATCATTAGTTTTGTTGTTTTCAATTTCTTATTTCCTGTCTATTCTATACTTATACCCATCAAAAGCTTTTTTTTCCTCCTCAGTTCTGTTTTAAAAACAGCTTTAAAGAAGGAGTTTTTTGTTTGTTACCTAATGATGAATGTCTCCATAGGTGTGTTTTCTTTATTTTGTCTGTCCTAATGCAAATTGGTCTGAACAGGAACCATTATTTAGTCTGTATTTTTGTAAGGCTCTAATTGATATTAAGCAAAGGTGGTCTTCTGTGCAAAATATTGAGTGTTGAGTTAGGTGTGTTTTAATTGTATAGGATATGCCTGCGTCACTCCATTCTTTGTTAAAGATAATAGATTTTAGTCAAGGCATTATGAACTTTCTGTAACAGCCACTAGAATTTAGCATTTTGTTATTATTTGTACTTTTTTGTCTATAAATTTAAAGGAAGGCATTTCAATAAGCAAAAATGTAAACAGCTTTTAGATATCAAGGTCTTTAGGACTGTCCATATTTTTGACATCTTTCTGAACAAAGCCTGCTATTTTACCTGTAAGGGAAGTTGTGCCACCTTGGACTTGTAAATATTTAAACATATTTATCACCATTGCTTTAGGAAATTTCAGTAGTCGTTGTTCCATAGAATTAAAGACTACAGAATACATACCTTCAAATACTAGTTGTTCTTCCTAATCTGGAATGTTTTATCTATGAGAGAAGCTTGTGCTGTTTTAGTATGTTCCCTCAGGGTTCAACTCTAGGGTCAGTCCTGTTCAATATGTTTATCAATGATCTGGATGCAGGAGTTGAATGCACCATTAGCAAGTTTGCTGACGATACCAAACTGGGAGGTGCTGTTGACACTCTTTAGGGACAGGAGGCCTTGCAGGGGGATCTAGATAGATTATAGGATTGGGCTATGATTAATGGGATGAAATTTAA